AGACAAAAGACTGATACTACTTGCTATCTTTCCTGCACATCTGATAAACGGTATGTACACTTTCACCAAAGATCTCACACAAATATTCATTAAACTATGTAGGAAGAAAATAGAAATTAAACATACTTGTGTTAACATCACTACCACGTCTTAAAGGGCAGGAAATAAAAATAACGTAATCAACTTTTTGTGCCATTCTTAAAATCAACTTACCTATGTCTTTCTTGATCCTGTAAAGCAGAAGATGCCCTTGTTTGGTACCAACAAGGAGCCATTCCTCTACAAAATGGGGAGAAAAAGAGCCTAATTAGATTCAGCAAAGACACAGCCCTTCCCACCCAAGTTACATTTATCAGAACACTTGGAAACTTGCTTCAAATGCCAAAGAAGACTTTCTGTGGCAACTACGCACATTATCTCCTATCACCTCTCTGGTGGAAGTGCTCAGAAGTAGCCTTCATTCTCAGGAGAGGACAGCCAAAGATCAAGCAGTAAAACAGGGAGCACAGCCTAGACATCACATCCCACTTGTTTATACAAAGGGAAAGAAACAAACCATTGCATCTTTTGTGCAATTAAAAGAGGCAATAAACTATTCTTCAGACATTACTATCTCCCAGAGAGGAACAGTGCTACATAATGGGAAGAAAAGCCAAGAAGAAAAACATGGAGTTCTATGTGGGTTTGTTTGTTGTTGTTTTTTTTTTAAATAGTCAAGTTTTTCTAAGAACTCTCTGAAACAGTCAGCTACGCCTGCAGGGACAGTGGCAACTTTGCTTCAATGGCATTTCAATTGCTTGGACAACCAACAGCCATTTAAGATGTACAAGAGAGAACCTTTTTATACACAAACCTTGCGGCAGAGTTTCAGACTGCCTATTTACAGCATTTATAGCATACAAAAGGCAGACAACCTTTATTGCGTCACAAAATATGGCTGAAATTCTTCCTCCTGGCTGAAGACCATATAGGAAAGAATCATACATCAGTATTTCTTTCTAGATCTAGTACTTCCTCATTACCAAAGGTGCCTGTATTTTAATAAAATCTTGTTTCCAGCAAGACCATTTTCCCCACTATTTGGTAAAAAAGCTGTAGAGACAGAATTACACCTCTTTCTACACAATCATACTGTCACATGCCTGCAGGCTTAGGCTTTCTTCTATGTCAGCAAAATAAACGCTTTCAAAGAAATAAAAGCCTTAGTGCAGGAATAAACTACCCTCACATCTTCTTTACCACGTAACTCTAGCACAAACGACCCATGTTTGAACGCAGCACTACTGTTCACGCTCTAATTTCGTTCTTTAGACAGATTAAAGGGGTCACAGTTCCACAGCGTCTGGAGGTTTTTCTTAATTACCGATTTTCTGCTATGGTAGCACATCTGATGGAAACTGCTCAAGCACTTTGAAAAGCCCTATCAAGCCTCATCATTACGACAGCTGGGGCAATCACCTGACCAAAGCCTTGACTGTCAAGCATGCCCAAAAATACAACCCACATTCATATTCCCATTAACACAGGCGAACAGACTCTAAACCTAAGACCTGAACACACCAGTGGCTTTCCAAGATAAATTTCACCCAAAAGACAGGGGAGGGCTTTTAGCAAGAAACCAGCCGAGGCACGGCTACAGCCCTGGGAATCATGGCAGCCCCCTCCACAGCAGGGCTGCTGCCGCCGGGCGGGCAGGACTTCGGGCGGCAGGGG